AAATATATCTAGTGACTCCGTTTTCACTCTATGTAGTCGCTGCGCATGCATAAATGTCTAGCATTTTATTAGCATTTAGACTTTCTTAATGTATTATTTCCCTATTTTCAATGTTCCCTTTCCCGAAACGCATTTTCCTAAACAAGCTACTCTGCAGATCGTTTCGAGCAATAACAATTTTGGAGTCATATACACTTTGAATATTTAGCGGTTCCTAACTTAATGTAAGTTTACTTGATTCCAGTTGATAGCCATAAATCTCCATCCTCAAGCATGGTGCACCATGATATGTTTGGGGTGCAATACGGACATATCTTGCTGTGGGGCTGTGGTACAATAATTCATGAGATATCGTCGATCGGTCGTGGTTCCCGTAGAAAATCTATAAAAAATGCAAGTTAGTTTTCTCTAAAATCAAAAGAGCAATTACACAAATTCTTAATGAGAGATAATTAAGCCACAATCCTTGCAACAAGGCAATCTGTGTACCCTTGTCACATTGCTTTCCTTGTACAGAGACCATAAGATTCCATTTGAGGATATCGAAATGTGATACGATTTTACCCAACGATCAGCAATATTGCAACCCTGTGTACCAACAGCGCAAACCACATGATGTGAACCCAAATCAATTGTGAGGTAAGGTGTAAAGTCTCTTGATTCAGGGCACCAGCATGATTTTGAATGTAATCTTGGGTTTATGGTTAATCGTTGAAAGGATGAGGCTGAAAGACGGTCGTTAATGATGTCTCCTGAACTCATGCCAAGTGGATTTGTGATGCATTCTGGTAAATTTGAACATGAAATGGGAAGTTAATAATTAACTAACGAATGAGAGAATAAATTAAAAATATGATGAATGGAAGAAGAGATAAGAGAAACGAATGAGAAAACCATGCATGAATAAATGGACTGATAACTGAAAAAGTATCAATGAATAACTGAGTGAGAGTACGAATGACGAACTCTTCATGGCTAAAAATGTATGCATGAAAAAAATTGAATGGATGGATGCGTGCATTCTTAAACTTTTTCCTAGAGAATTGTACTGCTAAAAAAGGTACATAATTGAGGTTGGAATTAAAAATAATTTTTATATGTGAAATA